TTCTAACCATAGTTACCTTCCTATTTCTCACCCAGCTATGGTTTGCACATAAAGGAAAACCCAAAAATCCTGTGTAAAACCTAGGATGGAAAAGCAGAGGATGGGATTTGAGTCCATGGGTGTGGCACAAACAGGAGGCTTCACACACAGGGTGAAAATGTGTAGAGGAGTCTGGAAGTTACAAATGTAGGGATTGCAAAGGGTAAGGGCTGCTCGGGGTTTGTAGACACAATCCACCCATCAATGAGTTAAAACCAGCAGCGGTTGAAGGATTAATCTTTGAGGGAAAGTTCAGGTCAGTCGGGATTTGACATTGTCTGTTACAGCTGGAATTGATCTAATCCTCAGCAAAACTTTGGCCAGACTTCCATCTGCATCGGTGCTGGGTGTTTGGGGGCAGGGGCTGGAATTATGCTGGATTCAAAGCAGGTATTATTTCATCAAAGATAGGTTTCAGAGCTTATTTCACCCTGGGAAGAGTTGATTATTTATTTCCATTATAGGAATGGAGAATTGCTCTGCTCCCCACAGGTAATGGGACACGTTAACTTTGCAGTGAGGGGAACCTGCAGATTCCAAAAGACAGATGTGTCAGCCTCCTTGGAAACCTTGACTTACCCACTCTGATTCTATTTTTTTTTAAAAAAAAAAGAATTTTATCAAATTAGTCTCAATCTAAACAGCAGAGAGAAGAAAGTCCTCAGGGAATATCCAGGGCAGGGAGCGGAGCTGGGAAGGGTCTGGAGCCCCAGGAGRGGCTGAGGGAGCTGGAAAGGGGCTCAGCCTGGAGAAAATGGGGATCATTTGGGACCTTGTGGCTCTGCACAACTCCTGACAGGAGGGGACAGCCGGGGGGGTCGGGACAATCCATGTCTGGCCATGGATTCTCCATCTCTGCTACCCACTCACTCCTTTTTCCATGACATTTCAGATTTTCCTCTCATGATAGTGTTTGTGACAAATGTTTATAGGATCAAAGCCCAAAGCACAAGTCCAGCATGGGACAATTGCATTTTCTTGGCATGAAATCCCTGTTCAGAGGGAAACTCTCTTGCATTGGGGTCTGTAGGCTGGTGCAAACCTAAATGGAACATGGAATCCTAAATGTTACCCCTCTGAGGAAGTGGGAACTCAGCCATAGCCATTATTACATTTTCTTTTTATTATAATATTCTGAGGTGCACCAGAGGCTCAAAAAGGTTTGTTTAAACAAATTAATTGAACGATTTGTCAAAAATAGAGGACACCAGCGCTCACAGGGCTGTGGCAGATGCTGGAAATGTTCCATATTTGTAARAACAGTGTTCTGCTTTCAAATACTGGGTATTATATATTATCCCTGGGTAGAGATTAATTCACTTATTTTTAAGCACGGTGAAACCTTCATTTCAGCAACTACTACCTAGAAAACACATTTCCCAATTAGCCTTGATGTCTGAATTGCGAGTCTGGAGGCAAAGGGAGCGCTGAGCCCTGCTCAAGGCAGCTCTGATGCATTATTGATGCTGCTTTCAATATCAAACATGCCAGGAATCAGGAGCATCATCTATTCTCCCAGCATCAAAAATATGATGACCTTTCTGTTGGGTAAAGGTGATGTGGCTGATAGCTGCCCCTTCTGTATAAGAAGGGAAAGAAAAAGGAAATGTGAATGTTTTCCAGGGAATCCACTCTGGCCAGGCTGTGGGGTGGCTGTTGGGGTTCTGTGCTCACGTTGGCACCTTGGCATTGGCCTCCTGCGCTCCCTGGGTGTCCCCAGAGCCAGGGCAGAGCCCTTTGTGCAGCATCTCTGTGTCCCTCCTGGCTGTTTCTGTGTCAGCACAGCGCTGCTGGCCTGGGGACACTTTTCTGGGGTGTTTTTGTCCCAGTGTTTGTGATAAATGCCCTCTGAAGCCTGGCCTGGCATTTGGCCCYGGTCACAGATGGTTTCTGGTGTGGGGCGTGCTCCAGCAGACACGGCTGTTCCTGCTGCAGGGCCACCCTTGTGGGAGCACAGACTGCCACTGTCACAGCTCCAACAATGCCACTTGTCCCCTGCTCAGGCTCCTGSCTGTCCCTGCTCTGTGCCATTTGCTGTTATTGTCCTGGGAGTGCCAGCCCAGCGGGGGCATCTCTGCCCGTGGGGCACTGCCATAGCCCTGAGCCCTGCTGGGCATGATAGCCCGGGCTGCACTAGCCCTGCTGGGCACCATAGCCCAGGCTGCACTAGCCCTGCTGGCCACCATAGCCCTGCTGGCCACCATAGCCCTGCTGGCCACCATAGCCCTGCTGGCCACCATAGCCCTGCTGGGCACCATAGCCCTGCTGGGCACCATAGCCCGGGCTGCACTAGCCCTGCACTAGCCCTGCTGGCCACCATAGCCCGGGCTGCACTAGCCCTGCTGGGCACCATAGCCCAGGCTGCACTAGCCCTGCTGGGCACCATAGCCCGGGCTGCACTAGCCCTGCTGGCCCCACCATAGCCCAGGCTGCACTAGCCCTGCTGGCCACCATAGCCCGGGCTGCACTAGCCCTGCTGGCCACCATAGCCC